CTTTCAGATGTTGTGTTATTATTGTGATACTGTACCTTGCCCTTAATTATTTGTGTCACGTGCGATGTCGGAGGAGAATTCATTGCATACAAAAGATGATGTTGCCTTTATCGCTGACTATTTATTACAAATATCGAAGCCTAATTAAATTCTCGGATTATCCGCGTCTTTTTCCGTGATTTTTATCTCAGAAAACTTCATAAAGTTTATCAACATGTAGATCAAGCGCTCCATCTCCGCGTGCAACCTTCGACGTCACGCGTACAGGCACTGCTAATCGTCGGGCTGTCGATTAGGAAAACCCGTACATTTTCGTCCTGTATGCGCCCCATGAGTGTTTTTCAGGGAATCCAGTATTTTTCTAGTAAGATTGAATATGTCTACATTCCATATATACCAAAATTGCTATACTTTTATTGGAAATAACCACCCGATAAATACTTTTCTTGGAACGTAGCTTTCAGATTGGACATTTTGAATGAATTCAGTTGGTGTTCAGTTGATGTTGAGTTGTTTTCGCGTCGTTTTGGACTCACTAAGGACAACGCAGAATTTGCTTAACAGACTTACGAAAGTGTTGAATAAAATATTTACAACTGTCCGAACAATAGCCCTAATCTATAAACCTTTAAGAAGTATTTAAAAACAGACCATGTTTTTCTATGTCTGATATATTGTGTGGTTGTTATCTATGTTATATCCTTTGTAAAGCGCCACATAGTAGTCAAGCTGCCTGAATGTCGATTATTATTAGGGTTTCACACTGTGTAGCTTGTGTGAAACACTATTGTTATTGTTAAGATTATTATTCTACTTCTTATTATTATTTTTTTCCCACTTGAGCATATCTCAGAAACTACTCGTCGGATCAACACGATGTCTTCGGTTTTACTGTGACTCTCTAAGTGGGTGTGACTTAGAGATTAAAGCTATTTCGAACTTTCTGCGACAAGGCGAAATGTCCGAAAGTTGTCGTGTTTTGAAATATATTGTCGTAATATTAACAATAATTGTCGAGTTTTAACATTTGATACATTTTGACATAGCCTGAGACAAGGCAAATAGTTACAATTCTTTTAGATTTAGATTAATCTTCGAACAGATTAGGCGCCAAATTTTGAAAATTTAAATTTTGACAAAAAAACTTTTTATTTGAGAATACTTTTTTTATGAAATTTAACCCAGGATTAAAGGGTCATGCGATTTGAGCAAAAATGCGAACACTTTTTGTCTCGATAACTTTCCTTGACCGCTATTGGCTAATTCAGTTTATGGGTTCTATCTTAATTATTTATTGCTCGATTTGTATAAAACAAAGTTCATGTGCTTAATGGTGCAATTTCTCAACTTTTTTTTATTACCGACAAAGTTTTCTGTCGGCACCGGAAATGACGTAATATTGCCAAAAACTACTTGGCAAGCAAATATTAATTATTACAATAGATCAAGATGAATTGACCTACTATAGGTTTTGTATTTGCGCTATTTCGACCATGAAAAATGGTGTAAAAATGAGCTACTTACAACCCTTTCAGGCTTTTCATATTTTAAAATATTTCTTCCTAACTTTCATAATCTTGTAGCATTAATCCATACCAAGGAAAATTAAGTGAAATTTAGTTTGTAATATGATCAGTTGCCGAGAAAAGGTCTATTTTGCATGAGTCACTTTTTATGTTATTTTGCCTGAAAATGAGTCAATTATTATTGGATTTTCATAAAAGCGAAACCATTTGATGCATAATGAAAATATGTCTTCTATCAAACTGATAACAATTTAAAATTGACACCGGAGGTGACGCCATTTTGTCAAAAACCGTATTTTTAACTTTAAAAATCAATATCTTTTTCAACTAATAATTATTTAATATGTATTAAACATTTTAACTTTTGGTTTAAATCAACATATTAATGAAATTTATACGGTCATATAGATGTCACAAAATGGTTTCTAACTTGTTCAGTTACGCAGAAATAGACGATTTTCTACAAGTCACTTTTCAAGGTTTTTGGTCCATAAAAGTGTCAATTTGTATTCGATTTTTATAAAATTTCACCATGTGATGCCATATTATGTCATGTGCGATATCATAAAACTAAGTAATGTCATTTTGGCAAAATAAACCCATGCGAACATTTTTAGCCTCCAAACCAAAGCGATATTCATTATTCGTATAACATTATAATATTTGATCCCAATGGACAAATAGTATGAATCAATGGGATCATATTGATATCAAAAAATTGTTTCTAACATCTTTCGTTGCCGAGAAATAACAAATTTTATCAGGTTAACATTTTAAGATTTTCGCATTTTAATTTCAGTTGATGGGTTCTAAGTTAACTAAATATTGCCTGATTCGTATAAAACAAAAGCTTATGTGCTCCGTGGTGCAATTTCTCAACCTTTTCTACAGATAAACTTTTCTGTTGGCACCGGAACTGACGTAAAAATGAAGATGAATGCTCCTACTAAAGACGCAAAATATGTCGGGCTTAGTTTTTTTTATTTCGTTTTTGTATTTGTGCCATTTTGATTTAAGGATGAAAAAAAGGTGTAAAAGTAAGCTATTTACAATGCATTCGGGCTTTTCAAATTTTAAAATATTTCTTGACAACTTTCATAAACCTGTAGCATTAATCCATATGAAGACAATGTATGTCAAAATACGTTTGTAATATTAGCAGTTGCCGAGAAATATGCGATTTTGCATGAGTCACTTTTCACGTTATTTAGCCTGTAAACAAGTTGAATTTTCGATTTTTTTTACATCATGTGATACCTAATGCACTTTTGACTGGGCGGAACCAATTAAACATTTTCTATGTCACCTGGAAATGGCGTCATATCGGCAAAAACTGTATTTTTAGCCTTCAAAACAAATATTTTATTCAACTGGGTCGTATTTGTAATTTGTTCATAATTAAGATATTTGCTTACAATCAAGAAATAGAATGAACCCATGCGAACATATCTCAAAATGGTTTCTAACTTCTTCAGTTGCGGAGAAACAGACGTTTTTCTACAAGTCGCTTTTCAATGTTTTTTGTCCATAAAAGTGTCAATTAGTATTCAATTTTCATAAAATTTTCACCATATGATGCCTATTGCCATTAACGATTTCCTAAAACTGTCACCGGAAATAATGTCATTTTGGCAAAAACTCTATTTTCAGCTATTTGTTTTGAATAAGTGATATTCATTATTCGTATAAAATTATGATATTGGATTTCAATGAACAAATAGTATGAGCTGTTTCTAGCGTCTTCTCGTGTCGAGAATCAACCCGTTTTGTCAGTATCACTTTTTATTTTTTTTTGCATTTTAATAATTCTTTATAAAGGGTTAATTCTGTTCAAATTTCAATCGATTTTTGCGTGGTTATTTCTGTATTCCAATTTAAATATTTTGTTGATAACAGAAGTGATGTCATGGCGTCGAGTCTTCGTTGTATAAATGGAACTGATATTGCAGGATGTATTGGCTAATTCTGCGTCCATTTTATAGCACGTATCCAATGCTCATGTGGAAATCTGTTTAATGTTTCTATTGGTACGGTAAGTGACGTCTGCTCAAGGATAAAGTGGCACCGGCGAAACCCGTCATTACTGCATCGAAGTTATTGTTGTTACTATTATTATTATCATTATTATTAGATCTCGACAGGACGATTTACCCGTAATCATCACGTCTGGTGTTATTGTCCCAATGATTAAACATAGCCGAGCCACTAAAATGGATAATTCCAAAACAATTTACGTTAATAGTTCTCCCAAAAAATTTATAATTTAAAAATCAAAAACGTCCTGACATTAGTCCATAGGATTTGAATTTGTTTCCATTTCAAGTCAACTCAAAGCTAACTTTACCCTAGACTCGAAATGGCTCGTAGTTTATGTTCCTTTGTGACCATAAATACTATTTACTGTGTCTAAATCATGATGAAATAAAATACGGATGCTATTCGTAAGATAGGGCATAAATTGACATTCAATTTTTTGTATCTTACATGATTTCACATACACACTACCCCGATAATCGACAATCTCGAAGAATGTTGATTTTGTATTTGGATTTGTGTCTCTTATTATCAAGGGGAGGCAAAGTATGATAGACGTATGATATATAGATCATAAAGTCTACCAGCATTTACGCCGCTTATCCTTTAATCGGTTTATAACATCTTGCAGTTGATCGGCAATATCAGGGAATGGATACTTCCTGATTTCGCACAAAATGGCAAATCGAACGACCTAGTTATGTATGAAAAGTACAGTGAAATAGAAAGTTTTCTTTTAGTTATTGAGTATATGATGATCTGTTAACAACTATATCAAAGATTTGAGCTCGAAGTATAATTTATTAATATCCTTTTGGTTGTTGTTTTTTTGTTATTTTTTTTTTTTTTTTGTTTTTGTTTTTTGGGTTTTTTTTGTTTTTGTTTGTTTTGTTGGGGTGTTGTTTGTTTTGTTGGGGTGTTTTTTGTTTGGGGGGGGGGGGCAGATGTTGCTGCGAAAAGCCTGCATATGGTGTAAACATTCTGCCATTGTAGATTTTGTTGGTCTCTCCGAAATCATAATTTCATTAAATAGGTACATTTTCAACATGTTTTCTCCTTTTCTGAGTTTGTTTTTCCTAATCCGGAATGGATAGTCGCGAAACACTGAATATTAATAGCTATTATCTTCTCATGAAAATTGAAAAACGGATCCATCAAAAACAAGTTCAAAAGGTGTTAGAAAAACAAAAGGAAATGGGAGGGGGGTGTAACTAACTCTGAAACGAAAAATCGGGAAGCGCTCAATATCGATAGGGTCCATCGTATAAAGTTTTCTGTACTTAATCTGCTAGTATTATTATATTCACGTAAAACGTCAACAAACGCGACCAGATAAACATACTTGGAAATTCAATGAAAACAGAGATACTATTTACCTTTCAAAATTCTGAACGCAGATTTTATCAAAGCTATATTTATTTTTAAAGTGTCAATGAAGACATGGAGACTCTCTCTCTCCCTCTCCTTTCTCTCTCTCTATGGAAGCAAACATAATGATTCAGATTTATTTTAATGCTATGTTAAATTAAAATATTAACACCAACCCGGTCCCCACACACCTCCAAAATTATTCGGGTCACCCGCTGGTGTATTTGGAGGGAAACGAGCTGGTATTGCCGTAGATTTATAATAATCTAATCTGGCCTTTAATCTGTTAACAACATCAGGTAGTTCATCGACAAGATTGTTGTGCTCACCTGGGTCTTCTGAAAAATAGAAATTTAATTTTTGATGTAAATTTATAAACTAATAGAAATAGATATAGTTATATAGGCTTATACGGAAGACGGAATCGATATAATGATAAGTGGATTTCCTAATTGGGGACAGTGGTGAATTAGTATACGATATCCTTGAAAGAGTATGCATATTGAGGCCGGTGAATTACTAGAAAAACAGCTTTTTTAAAAAGCTATTGATAATTCTACCCGGATTTGTCTACGACACTGGTAAGTACTTAAAGATATCTATAACAATGGTTTGAGCTTTAATTTCAGGCCATCAGCGAGTGAGCTATGTGAACTCCTCAAATGAGAAGTGGCATAAGGTATTCTATAAAGCGTTAATATATACGTGAAGCTGTGAACACTAGCAGCTAACAATGGCAATGGAGTTCAGAAAACTAGGGATAATAGATCAGTTCGGGGCAGTGTCATGAGTCCAATGATTGACATAGGAAACTGCTACAGAACTTTAAGCGCTAGGTGATGTCCTCAAATGGGAAGTAGTATCACATATTAGAGAAAGTTCACTCTTTCTCGTAAACAAAACTCTAAACTTTTCGTATTTGTTTCACGTAATAGCTTACCAATAAGATCATAGAGCAAAGTATCTGGTAGGGGATCGGGTTTCTCAAAATCTTCTTCGGTATCTTCTAATTTTGGTAATGGGTCCCAAGGACCTGGACCGGGATTACCGAGTATTAGTTTATATTGCTTATCTCTGAAATGAGACAAAACTATATTCTACTAATCCAAAAGTTTCAGATCAATCACTGACCGATTATACTGGTAAAACGCATAATAAAGTACAGTTATTTGATATATAAAATGAAAAAATAAGTTTCAATTATCAAATCAGGAAGTGTTAGAACAGCTTTAACAGTTCAAAATTAATATACATGACCCATAGAAGTGATTTCAATAATTTGTCAGATTTTCTGTGTTACTAATCTAAATTATGTTAAAGAAAAGACAGATGGAATCCAAATACGAGCGTTTTTGTATTGATAAAGTCTTGTTGAGAAGTAAAACTTGTCAATGATCAATAATAAATATAATATATTTTACCTTATGGCTGAGTTATTAGCGATATTGTCTATATTATGGACAACTTCCAATCTTTCACTAGGTGCACCATCTCTCCACATTTTCCATTGGCTTATGCCATCTATACCTGCAGCTACAAAAAGACCCAAACAGATTGATCTAGGATATACACGAGGACACCATTTACTAAGTACCATTTCGGGTCAATCTGTATGGCAACACCGTTAAAAGAATTGAGTTTTAAGATGAATAAATTTGAGGGCGTTGGAAATTTCAACCTACTATTGTTCGAAAACAACTATTGTACTTTGATCTGATCCAGTAAAAACTGTAACATGATGGCACCTAGTAAGGATTTGACGTCTGTTACCTAGTATGTTGGTCTGTAACAACTGTAATGTGGATACGCTTGACAATGTCAAGCAAAAGACACAATTACGTCACCAGTTTGCACTTATTGCCACCAGTTAGCAAATATTTATCAGTCTACTGCCTAGGATACTCGTACGATTTAACCTATGTTCTCGATTCGGTATGGTGGACTATCACATCCAGCAAAATGCCTTTGCTTCATATATAATTGTTCTCTACAGATGTTTGTCTATATAGGTTGTACTCACGCTGAGGTAGCCCGGCAACTTCCAAAAACGTAGAAAACCAGTCGATAGCATGCATTAATCTAATGACGAATAAAATGTTTTGTCAAAATGCATAATATGATCATATACTTTGAAGACTGGATGTTTTTTATTAAATGGTTCACCAATTAATCAAACACTTTTTTAAACTCGAAAAACATCGTCAGTCTAACAAGATATAGATAGGTAATACAATATTAGAATAATATATTCAGTTAACCCATGTAGGATTCTCCGAAACATCCCAAGAATTCTAAAACAAAAGTATGACCTGTGCAGGTTTACAATGTGTATGTGAAAGTGGCAATAATTCCGCATAACACTGATGAAGGATTCTGAATGTTAATGAGTTTCTCCCTATGGCAATCCCAGTCAGTTTCTATGAGTGGGACAACAACCCTGCGTACTATTTCATATTCCTGCTTATGATATCCGATTAATCGTAGCAAGTTTTCAAAACCAAAACTTATGTAGAATTAGAACGTTTACAATGATTAATGACAGGGATAATAACGCCCCATAGAATTGATGTGCGACTATAAGGTTTTCCTCCATAGACTTGTGGAAAAAAATACGGATCGACGTACGGAGAGGGGTGTCGATGTTAATTTGAACGTATAAAAACATTGAAACTTGCCCATTATGCGTATATCCTGTTTTCTTAATCAATGTTTTGCTGTGTGCGAATGATATTCCACGGGTTCCGCCTTCCCAGATTGTGGTTTTACCGCCTCGTAGTGGTAAATTGTTAGCGCCCAAACCAATTGGTCCACCATTCTTTAAAATAGAAACCCGTACAACAATTTCAGAATGCTTTCAACAAAGTCTGATTACCTACCCTACATTGATGAGTTGAGTTATACATATATGGTATGTCGCCTGACACAACTATTTTTGTGCGAGATCCCCCAAACAAAACTGTGTATATGCCAGACCTATATTATCTTTATTATTATTAGACATTTCTGAAGCGCACAACTGGCGCATAATTGTGCGCTTTACAAAGACTTTTTATTTACATAAGAACAAGAGATAACAAAGAGCATGTTTGATAAAATATGGAAAGATACGTTGTGTGATTTTGTTAAAATAACTAATAAAAATAGCTCTGGATAATCTATATAAAGGATCACTAGGTAAAAATCCTTTTCAAAGAAATAGGTATTTGCTTAAGTTTTAAAGTTAGCAATAGCATTGACATTACGAATTTTAATTGGTAATTATTCATAACAATGGTGTCTGTACCATATGATGATAAATTATAAGATTTCTTGTGAATTTATAGTATTCAAGAAGCTGGTAAAGATAGGGCTGGGTCAATGTATTCAGTATTTTGTATTCTATTATGTATGCTCTTGATAGCCAGTTCAAAGAGTATAAGACAGGTGTGATTTGTAATGAGCATTTTGTTGGAGAAATTAATCGTGCCGCTGAGTTTTGGACCTTTTGAAGTTTATCTATGAGTTTAAGTGGAAGGCCCGTGAATAGGGAGTTACAGGTATCGAATCTTGAAGTTATAAATGAACTGGCTAAAGATCTAGTTCCATCTGGAGAGAAGAACTTTCTGATTTTGCCAATATTGCGTATGATAATAGCAACTTTTACAAAGGTCATTGACATGGGCTTTCATATTCATGTTAGAATCAAATATTGAGCCGATATTACGTGCTGATTTTGATGGGGGTCTTAAACAGGTTCCTATTGAAATTGAATTGTTGTCATTAACTTTGGCTTATCGCGTTTTCGAGTCAATAATTAGATATTAGGGTTTTCCATCGTTCAGTTTTTAAAAAAAATTGTGACACCTAGCATCCAATATCATCAATATAATTTTCAAGATTAGATTTATTGTAGTTAAAATCCCCATTTGATGCGGGTTTAAGTGGACGGTATCACTTGGAGTCATCCGAGTATAAATGCAATGACAAATCATATTAATTTACAATTGTGCCAAGAGATGAGAGGCTGAAAAGAATCGGACCTAATAATGTTAAATGTGGGCTCTGTATTTCAGTTCCGTATTTTTGCGTCATTTTCCGTTTCTTCAATCTTCGATACGCATCTCAGTGTTAAAATATATTTGAAACGTGTTTAACCAGTTCTATCACATATGTGATAATGGCTGACATTAATATTGTCCTTTAACTCAGCTGCTAAGCATTTCTCGAGAATCTTAGAAACGAAACTAAGATCTGACACCTGGCGATAATTCTGGTATAAGTCAGGATTTACGTTTGATTTTTTAATAGCTGGAAGTACTTGAGCGACTTTTAAAAATGTCAGGAACAACAGATGTGTTATAGATGAATTAATAATGCTATCAATAACAGACACTACTTCTGCAAGACAGTTTTTAGGAGCCGTGTAGGAATAGGACCTAGCGGGCAAGAAAAAGTAAATAGCCTACAGAAAATTTGACTTTAAATATTAATCATGCTACCCACCCATCCAAACTGCAAACACCACTTTGACGCAAGCATTTTTTAAAATTTTTTTTTTACAGCTCGAGCTGTTAAAAGAGCTAAGTCGCTAATATTTGGGATCTAGTTATTGACACAAATGGGTCGCAACACATGCAATAATGTGATATGAATGTATGTAAACTGATTTACATTCAATCGGTTCTGTTTTTACTGTAATTTCTAACCACCAGAAGTCTCGACTGAATGGCAATCTCTAGCCTCTTGTCATTCCCGTCTACACCGATAGTATTTGTTGCGCATGCTCTCCAGATAAGAATATGACGTCACCGTTTGGCAGGACTTGTGGAATATGCCTAGCCTCGTTCTTCGAGTCTCTTGTTACAAATGACGCTGAAACGCATTATGGTACACGATTCGTGTACCAATGGTAAAATGTTTATTTTGTCGTAAATATAGGGTATCAGAAGTCCATCTTTTCCCGGTAAGATCACAACATCAATGTTGATTTAAATTGACAAATAATTTGTGTTTTTAATGTCGAAGAATTTGGATGATATTGAGTTAGAGACTTAGCTACTTTAACATCAAGAAAAACTTACATCACTAGTAAAACCTAGAAGAAGATTATTGGTTAATCCCTTTCTCTCTAAAGCTGCAGTTATATTACCAAACGCCTCGTCCATAGCGGAGACCATTCCTGTAAAATGGGAAGTAAATGTAGAAAGAAATCAAACGAAGGGAAAGTTTGCTTTGATATTCCTCTGTCAAGAAGAGCGACCCAAAGTAACCAAGTAAAGATAAGCCGGGGTTACATCATAAAAATATAGACAGTAACTACCGTGATAGTTTGTACAACCACAGACAGGTTACTTTTCCCCATTGAAACAAAGCTTAACGACAGGATGTAGTGATATTGGACTTTCTTGTTGTGTTTCCTTTGTGATCGTAAATAAAACTACAGGTTAGTTCGTTTCTAAAACTTTATTATTAAACTGTTTGGTTTCGATGTTCCTCGTTCTCAATAAAGCATAGATGATAGCTGCTCGGAATATCTGGGTGAGCTCTGATGAATTTCGCTCAACGCCCTCTTTTATAACCCCCCAATTTCTGTATGTCATAGACTGAACTTGGCGTTAATTTCCTTCCAAATATGGAATAAACATCCCCATTCTCCAAAGACCGTGAGGAGAACATTACCTTATTTGGTCTACCAAACACATGTCATAAACAAAACAGAATTTGCTGGATATTTTGACAATGGTAAGGATTTTACCAAAATATCAATGTTTTTTTATTTATAAATATATCACTTAATTCATTAAGTACGTGTGATTTGACTCTGTAGAAAGTGTGAACCAAATAATTAGTTAAAGATACAATATGGTCGCAAGGACCATAGTATTTTAAGGAGAAAAAAAATTAAAAACACTGTAAAGTCTGGAAGAATGAGTTTAACCCGCTTGACCTGGTGAGTTTAGGCTCATCTTGTTCTCTATATAGGATCGATCAGGTTTCAGCCAGGCTCAACCCAAAGTATATCGTTTCGAATTTAAAGTCACTAGTCTCGATTTGTGCGACATATGCATCCCTTGCAAACAGCAACATTGTAAAAGTTGACTTTTTAATTGCAATATCGGTCTAAAATAGTTAAATTCCAATCAGTATTTACAAAGATATGATGAATCGAAATTCCATCGATCTATGCTGCGCCTTATAATTATTTAAATGGAACACATTAAGTTCTTTTTGTTGACAGAATTTGTCGACAAAACAGGTTTACGTTTCTTCACCGTTGAACTTTCCACCAGTCTGCAATCTACAGTAGACTGATCGCCAATTACAAGTCTTAATTAAGTCATAATATTATTATATAAGCTCGCCGTCATCTTAACGCGTACGCAAAATCACTCGCTGTTGCGTTCAATATTACAAATTAACACGACAGCTATGTTTTGTCATCAACTCTAAACACGCAGTACAGTGAGTCGTAACACTGTCATATTAAATGACTTATGACTAACCTGAATATACTCTTCGCATATTGTCATGGATATTAGAATACATATTTTCATACTGCTTGGGTACCTGAAGAATATATATTCTTATGCCTGTAATTTATAATTAACAGTAATTAACGTGTAAATCTCACAAACATAATTCTTATAATGAAGTTATATTATAGTCTTTTTTATTTTATTTTGTAGCTGAAACAATATTATTATCATATAATAAAGATCAAATTCGTTAGACAATTTGTAATAAAATAAAGATACATTTTAGGTAACAAATCGTAAAGAAATTACTTATTTGCTGTTGCAAACCAGTAACTAACCCCACCTGGGACTAACATTTCATCTAAACGGAACATGGTCAGAACATATTTCTAAAATTCACTAAAAAGCTTACAATAGACTCAACATAATACGCCAATTAAAATTTAAATTAAACAGATCTACGTTATGTACGATATTTACGTCATTTATACGTCCTCTTTTGGAGTATGGGGATAGTATATGGGATAATTGTAGTATTAAAGATTCGGAATTACTTGAGAATATCCAACTAGAAGCAGGGAGAATCATAACTGGTCTGCGCCGAAATTCCCAAAGAAAACATGTTTATGACGAATTAGGGTGGGAACCACTGTTCAAACGCCGTCAAAAGCATAAAAGAGAGAGAGAGAGAAATGGGGTTTAACGTCCACTCGACACAAACTAGGTCATTTCGGGACTAACATATGGTTTAATTTTATTTCCATAATTCGCTTGCGCGTAGGGGTCTTTAGCAGTGGGAGGAAACCGGAGGACCCGGAGAAAACCCACGAGGTTGGACAGGCGACCCTACTCCTTGCCACGTACAACCGGGGATTCGAAACCACGCAAGTCGACTCAATGACAGACTTTGTGATACAGCGCGCGCACGCTAACCATTCAGCCATCCAACCCCCCGTCAAAAGCATAAACTCGTCTATTTTTATAAATTCCTTAATTGCTATAGTCCCAAGTATCTATCCGATATTCTAATGCAATTCTTCGGATGAAGATAATTTCCACTTTTTCTTCTCTTGTCCATCTTATTCAGCTATCAGAATGGAACTATTAAATTCATTAAAGGTATTCACAGAAACTATTAATCTAGATCTAATTTTAAATGGCTCTACAGATCTTTCGAACACCTTCAATATCTTGATTTTTGAAGCAGTCCATTATTTTATTAAAAGTACTCAAAGGTTTTGATTCGCTTTAACATAATATTGTTGTATAATATCAAAAAATTGCATCGTATATATCATTTCCACATGAAACTGTATACATGTTCGGTTTTACAATTTATTATATTTAATTTTATTTTTATGTATATGTTATATTTATCGTTTATTATTTTCTGTATCCCTGGGAAAGAACTTATATAGGCTTTGCCTGTTGCTCAATCCCTTTTCAAACGAATAAAATATTGTTTAAACTAACTAACCTCAATTGGAAAATGAACGTTCTGGAAAGGCAGATATAAAAATAGTGGTATTGAAGGGTCGTGGTTTTCAATAATTTGTATAGCTCGATCAGCAAATAATTTCTGTAAGAAAATTAACTTGTCATGATTAATATGCCTCGAGTATGAACATATCACACGCTTGCACATGGTTGGAACATACAGGGTTGGACAAGTGCTATGTTAATCTACATTTGTAGAATAAATGATATACTGAGACCCAGTGAAAACGCAACATTTTTATACGTACATAGATGATTGTAGATATAAATCTCGTTTCTGAATTAACTATACTAAGCAGCAAAAGAAACACCAGTTTGGTATGTTACTCTGAATAGGCGCATTGCATAAAACTTGCCAAATGTTTTATTGTATATCTGTGACCACATCTTCGCCTTTACCTGAGCAATAAGGCTCCTTCCCAAACACAGAATTGAACCCAGGAAATGTTCTCATAAACGCAACCTGACTTCTGAGATGGTAATGTGTTCTCCATGATTTTCATGTAACTCATGCTGCACGTGCTGTTCACCGGGACCAGCCCTATAAAATGCACCCCCATACCTGGTTGAATCATTCACACTACAACGTCAGCAGCATGCCACGACTCACAACGGCTCAGAAGAACCAGGCGCTTGGAAGACTCTGCGCTGGTCACACTGCCCAAGCCGTTGCCAATCACTTCCAGGTCAATGTTCGGGCCACCAACACCACGGATGATCGCCCCCGAACTGGTAGAACAAGGATTACCACAAGGGGACAAGACCGCCATGCTATGCGACAGCACGTGCATAATCCCTTCACACAGGCATCTGAGACAGCACGTCAGACAGTGGGAACACACGGAAGATCTGATCCAGTGCGCCGACGTCTCACCAGAGAGCGCATCCATTGCCGTAGATCCTCACCCCTCGCCATCAACGTGGACGTCTAGTTTGCCCAACAACATCAGAACAGGCAACACAGGCAATGTAGAACTGTTCTGTTCACAGATGAGAGTCATGCACGTGCTGTTCACCGGGACCAGCCCTATAAAATGCACCCCCATACCTGGTTGAATCATTCACACTACAACGTCAGCAGCATGCCACGACTCACAACGGCTCAGAAGAACCAGGCGCTTGGAAGACTCTGCGCTGGTCACACTGCCCAAGCCGTTGCCAATCACTTCCAGGTCAATGTTCGGGCCACCAACACCACGGATGATCGCCCCCGAACTGGTAGAACAAGGATTACCACAAGGGGACAAGACCGCCATGCTATGCGACAGCACGTGCATAATCCCTTCACACAGGCATCTGAGACAGCACGTCAGACAGTGGGAACACACGGAAGATCTGATCCAGTGCGCCGACGTCTCACCAGAGAGCGCATCCATTGCCGTAGATCCTCACCCCTCGCCATCAACGTGGACGTCTAGTTTGCCCAACAACATCAGAACAGGCAACACAGGCAATGTAGAACTGTTCTGTTCACAGATGAGAGTCATGCAACGAGACTCATGGGGAGGTCCAAGCATAATGGTTTGGGGTGAAATCGGCCTGAACCAGAGAGTGGGTCCTGTGGTGTTCCAAAATCTTGGTCCAGGGAGAGGAAGTGGCATCACAGCAGTGCGCTACATCGATCAAGCTCTCAGACCCCATGTCATACCACATTTCGCGCGTCATCGAAACAACGTTTTCCAGCATGACAACGCCCGTGCCCACACCGCCAGAGATATTCGGGACATTCTACAGCAGAACGGTGTCAACGTTATGCTCTGGCCAGCCCTTAGTCCGGACCTAAACCCGATTGAACATCTTTGGGATGAAATTCAGAGGAGACTTAATAACGTCGTAACAAGACCAAACACAGCCGATGGATTGTGCCAGGCTTTTCTGAGAGTGGGGTTCCAGGTGCCAATGGCGTTTATCAATCGTCTGGTCCACTCCATGTACAGTCGCTGCACTGCTGTTATTGACACCCGCGGTGGACACACCAAATACTGATGTATAGACTGTGTACAGACTCTAAACCTTCTCGCAATGTCTTGGAATTGTGATGAATTAATCACTAATGTGTCAATATACTTTTCACAAAAATTGGTTTGATCCATTTAGTAAGTCGTTTTCTAGAATGATTTGACTAAAGTACATCTCTGATTTTTGTTTTGGTTTGTTTTTTGCTGTTTAGTATACATCAGATTACGAAGTTAGCACACGAAAAAACGATTTCACGATCGCACCACAGATCAATTCTCTCAAACACAAAACAAAATGAATTATACTGAAGGGGAATGTTGATTGTAACTGCACAAACATGGGTACGAAATGTGACTTTTAAAACTTAGGGTTAGTACAACTCCAACAGTAATGTGAAGGACGCAACGACATGCCAAGAAAATGAAATGAAATGAAATGGGGTTTAACGTCCTACTGAATATGCCAAGAAAGAAGTTTTTATCGATATATTGGAGTGATTTTGAGCAACAGACTATTATTTTACATTTTGACTCCAATAACGACGTTTAAATTGATTCGAAATGTTTAGAACAATTGGCGACAAATTCCTATGAGGAAACTAGAAACGGTGATGCTTTTGCAGATTGTGTCTAAAATAATAGAACTGAAAATAAAAAAAAAATAATGGCAGATTAGATAGCTTATTCTATGCATGATGATTACAACCCAGTCTGGGTGCCAAACATAGTTCGAGGTAGAACTGGGAAAATATTTATTTGGTGAAGATAAAAAAGGCCACTTGATTAATTATAGCTGTTTTATTCTAATGGCGGATTTTGAGTTGATGGCTGTTAAAACCAACAGATAATGTTAATATGGATTTAGATATGAGCAGAAAACTAATATGTTCCTGGGCCCTGTTTCACAAAAACTTAAATCTCCTTAAAATCGTCTTAAACTAAAATTGTATCCTAACTTAAGATAGATGCGTTTCCACTAAAATAATATTTTAAGTTACAATTTTATCTTAACTTAAAATAGTGGCGTTTCACAAAACTATTTTAGGGACAATTTTAATTTTAATCAATTTTAACTTAGGACAGCCGTCACCCTCTTCTAACTTAAAATCACGACAGTAACAAACATTGATAGAGCTACGTTGTTAGATCTATTGCTATATATAGATATATACTCTTCAAAAAAAGTAGGGGACATTGAAATGTAAATACCTATGCAGGTTGTGATATGATAAATAGTCTCGGACACTTGACATGCTTTGAGAGCATGTTCACAGATGAAGAACTTATTGCCCCAACAGAACCACTGAGCTGCACATGAGACACGCAATAGCGTCTTACACGTGAGAGGGGTTCATTGTCAAATTTGACATTTCAAGGAATGGTTGATGAAAACTGCCACGTGCTGGTTTATCTATCCATGTTTGCTTTCCTATCGGTTCTTGCATAAGATTTACTGTTTAGGGTATCTTTGCTTTAGTGTGTTACGTTTAATTTGATCGGGAGACGTGTTCGTCGACGTCAACGTCAACCGACAACACTGCATTATCTCCATTGAAGCCTTCGAGTAAATCAAATGCCAAGGTCACGAAAGCGACATGCAAGTTCAAGGTCAACCCAAAAATACATTTCAAAATGAATAATACGCAATAAACTTATTTATTTCATCTCTCAAAGACTGTCTGATCATGTGCAGACATTGCTACAAAGTATGGAACTCTCCTTATTGGTATTGCAACGGTTAGTTCAACCTGGCAACAGTTTTCAGTTCCGAAGCGTTTATCTTTACACCCTAAGTGCCCTCGCCGGAATTGTGCAGTGCGCGGGCGCAAGCAATTTTAACTAAAATCTATTTAAATTGCATATTAAGTTACAATCGATCTTCGTGAAACGCATAAAATTTAAAATTTCATTTTGATTTTAGTTAAAATCTATTTTAGTTTAAGTTTTTTGTGAAACAGGGACCTGAAATATAATTGCATACCAAAAACTCAGGCAAACGTGTTTCTGTAGAAATGCGAATATTCAGTGGAGAATTTTTTAATGAACAAAGTTCACAGATACTTAAGCTGCGTTCACACTAGGGGTTTAATCTGAATTGAATTCAGAATAAAGCCTTATTCCGGACTTTGGCGTCAGACTCAATTTGACAAAAACCGAACTGAATCTGAATTAACGAATCCGTATATTTTTCCGAATTTAACCCGGAACAATTATTACGAATCGGGTTATCCGCAGTCAAGATTTGAGTGTGGCACGCTTGATTCAGATCTACAGTCTTACCGGAAACTAAATTCTGATTACGAGTTCTACCCTATACTAACATTTAATATCATGGGCCATAACTCTGGCAGTAATTATCGTAAATCGTTCAAAATCAATTGGCTTCCTCAACCATGACCTCAAACACTGCGTGCATAAATATGATAGGCTATAATTCTGGCAGTAATTATCGAAAATCGTTCAAATTCAATTTGCTTCTTCATCCATGACCTTAAACACTGTGCATAAATTTAAAGTCAATCAGATATTAACATTAGCCTCTAGCGCGTCGGGCGGGGGCGACGACAATATACGACCACATTTCAAATACAAAGATGGGTGTGTTCAGATCACAGCTGACCATACGCGGACTAGACCGTGGGGGCAGGGCAGGTAAGCCTTAGTCGTCTCGAGTCTATTCTTTAGAATGTATTGCCATATAGCTGGATAAAAATGACAACAAAATGTATTGCTTTACATTATGTATGTTTAGTTATGAACTGGGAGCCACGATGGTGTTGACCGAAAAGGTTCAACGTGATTTTCCGGCGTGGTTTTCCCATGTCAGTGTTGCAGGGCGGAGGGTCTGACAAGGACAGCTGTCTAGTTGTCTGCATGGGGCGAAAGACAGAGTTCGCGTGTACATATTGACGCTGTCCGGGGAAAATGGTCTATGCCCGTCTTTATAAGCCCAGTCGGACCAGAACAGTAGGAAGTTTAACCCCATTTCATAACATTTCAATTAGGAACTGTATCTTCGCTAGTACATAGTCAAGAGTGAAGTACATGTACATTCGTGTTAATGTATAGCAAACGCTACCAAAAGAGTAATCATCCTCGTTCGCATTTGATTTTGGTGCCAACGAAATCGTGCCCGGTGCTGCATGGCAAGGTGTCGAAGATCTAAGACCTTGCTTGACTCAGGAAATTAAACATAAGCAACATAAGATCACCAATACGAATGCCTGGCGCATCCATCTTGGATATGATTGACCTTCACTGCGCATTCAGTGTGGCGCTTTTCATTCTGAATTCAATCCGAATAAACTGTAATGTGACGCACTGCTTTTAAACCGGGAAAAAACCAATCCGAATTCCGGAGACCGGTCTCCGGAATTCGCATTGAATGCGCATGCAGTGTGAATGCAGCTTTAATGGTTTCTGAGATGCGACTAAAATAATAATACCAAAGTTTAAGATTGAAAACACGCAACTTAACCAACTGCGAATTTTCGAATAAGCAAACTATATCTTTAACATTTCTGAGATACGCTCCAGAATAATAATTGTATACTGAAATAAGACAAGTTTATTTCCACGGAAACACTGAAGCTGTTCAACAGAGAAACTTCTAAAGTGGTGTCAAGCCATGTTGATGGATCCTGAGATGTGATCCAAGAGATTAATTACATACCGAAAACGAAGCCATGTATTTCCATGGAAACAATTATTGAACTGAGAAATTTATATTTAGACAATGGCACCACTACTTAGTTTCACGGGGTTACGTTCAACGCTTTATGCTACGGGAACAATTTGTAAACCATCGACATACAAAAATATTAAAACTGAGAAAAATATATTACCGAAAAAAGGTTTAACTTACGGTCGAGTATTCACCCTTCAAATAGGCCACTGTATCGTTATCCCGAAAATCATAACCATTTTCTGAAATGTTTAAACTGTACGGTCAACTAACAAACATAAACACCGTAAGCGTACCATTTGATATAGTTTCATATACGGTGGCCCGAAGATATCCACACGCAAACCTTTAATAATCTTTATAACCCGATCGGTATACTTAGCAAGCATTTGATATTCTCTAAAAGTCTTAGATTCCGGCAACATTAAGAAAGATTAATCACGTATGAAATATTTTACAGATTCAAATTTCCCTTCTCAAAGCAGGCGAATTGTATTGAATTACAATCATCTTTACTAGTTGTGTTTATGAGAGACAAGCTAACATTGCTACAGCCATCACATTTAGCTTACCAATAGTGCGATTAAAATGTCCCTCACATCCTTGATAATATCCGTAAAATGTATCGAATCCTCTTCTGGTGGGTACGTATTTCCAATTACAAAATCCTAGATGCCACCTTTAAAAACAAACGTATGTAAATCAGAAATTAGAAATATAGAAAGAAAGGTACATATCAAAACAGGTCTGGAATGGAATCTAAAATTGTGTTAATCGTTTGCTATTTTCCTATTTAACCAGCGGCTGCCAGACAGGATACGCCCACATTTTGCAAGAGATGGATAGAGAACACGCTAAAAACAAAAACGATTATTTGTACAATCAGGGGCCATGATCCAGAAAGTTATGGACTGAAATGCGCAAATATCAAAGGGGACTGGGATTTTTGGAATATAAAGACTTGTTTTAAGTTTCATCAAAATCGGATAATAATTGTGACCTCTAGAGGGTCCATAACCTTTGTATAACATACTTATACACAATTTGCGTACAAAGAGCGGCGATTTTGTCGGGAAGTTTCATTTTGATTTTCCCGAAATCTTCATTATGGTGGAATGGTGATATATCTAAACGGTTTTTAAAATCAGAAAAAAAGTGTGAGCTCTAGAGAATCCACCAGCTAAATGCGATTTTTCGACCAATCAGGGGCCATAATCCAGGAAGTTACTTTCGGATATGTGTGATTATCAAACGGAACCAAGATCTTTATGATAAAAACATATATTTAAAGTTTCTTCCAAATCGGATAAAAACTGTGACCTCTAGAGGGTCTACAACCTTGATATACCATATTTTTACACTATTTATGTACAAGGGACGGCCATTATGTCCGTCAGTTTTAGTCCGATTTTCACGGATAAAAATTGTGACAATCAAGGGCCATAATTCAGGAAGTTACGATTCGATATGCGCGAATATCGAAGGGAACCAAGATCTTTGGGTTATAAACATGCATTTCAAGTGTCGTCAAAATCGGATTAAAACTGTGACCTCTAGGAGGTCCACAACCTTGATATACCAGATGTTTACACTATTTGCGTACAAGGGGCGGCCATTTTGTTCGACAGTTTTGGACCAATTTTCACGAAATGCGAACTCAACCATCATTAGGGTATAACGGTGATATACTAAAACGTTTTTTTTTTAAAATCGGATAAAAATTGTGAACTCTATCATAGGGACCACAAGCTCAAAACGCGATTTTTCGTACAATCAAGGGCAATAATTCAGGAAGTTACGATCCTATATGCGAGAATATCAAAAGGAACCAAGATCTTTGGGATGTAAACTTTCAATCCAAGTTACATCAAAATCGGATGAAAATTGTGACCACAACCTGGATATACCATATTTTTACAATATTTGCGTACAAGGGGCGGCCAATTTGTCCGGCAGTTTTCGTCCAATTTTCACGAAATTCGGACTCAACCATCATTAGGGTGTAACTGTGATATACTAAAACTTTTTTTTAAATCGGATAAAAAATTGTGACCTCCAGAGGGACCACAAGCTAAAAACGCGATTTTTTGTACAATCAGGGGCCATAATTCAGGAAGTCACGATCCGATATGACCTCTAGAGTGTCATATAGACATATATTTCAAGTTTCGTCAAAATCGGATAAAAATTGTGACCTGTAGAGTGTCCACAAACAAATTTTAGACGGACGGACGGACGAATGAAAATGTGGGCGTATAAACACATATATTAATATTAGTATTTCTCAATTGGTGCATAATTAATATACTTACTTTCCTACAATATGTGTTGCATAACCCCGTTTCTTTAAATATTGTGGTAGAATTGTGTAATTGGCTTGAAGATAATTCGGTTGCCAGTAATCTATCACCTTGTGCTATTGATAACAGTAAAAAAAACATATTGATACATTCTTGTTTTAAACAGGTATCGGAGAACCGATTGAGTCGGCTCTATTTTTCTACACATATAGAAGTAAAGAAAAGGAAGTGGGAGCGTACGCAACAGTTTACTTAAACATGCATTATGCAAGAGTTAAATCTTCCAAACGTTATCTAAATTATTAATTAGACATTAATTAACTTATCCAGACCGTAATCAACTCTCGATACTATCGCTAGCTGTGATATTTAGCGGATTGGAATACATTTTGTGAAGTATAATAAAACGTAAAAATGGATAATCGAGATTTTGTTTTTTTATCGTCCGACTTTAGTAAAATTTAAAACTAATATCTCGGTTCAGAATAGAGTAATTTGATTGAATTTTTCAGCATATTCTATTTACGTTATCTATTTTTAATTATATATTATAGCGTGAACTGTCAACTCTTGATCTAATCGCCCATAACGCTCGTTTAAGTAATACTTAATTTAAAAAAAGATCTATATATCTAAGCTTAATGTCGTATATTTGACAAATATTCAACATTTTGAAAATAATACCAAAAAGTGCCGTGTAAACTGTAACATTAAAATCAAACAAATAAGTGAATGTTGCGATAAAAGCCTCGTCCTACCTGTAAACCTGTATGGAATGGATAATAGCCAGTCATAAAAGCACTTCTGGATCTATAGAAATAAAAAGATTACAACATGCAGTGAAAAGACAAAATGATTTATTACAAGAATATACTTTAAAGGGCGTATAGCTCTTTTCTTTGAAATCTCAAAAAAGACAGAACATGATCTAAAAGCACATATTGATGTAATAAATATAAAGTGATCTATATTCAATTTTCAATAAAAATATTTTCATTTCTAAACAATCATGTTCGGTGAAATACGTAAACAGTCCAAATTGAACGAGGGTCGTTTAAGTCTACTTAGTCCATTCTACGCGGTTTTTTTTTAAAATAATTTTTGTCATTTGTGAGTTAGCCATTACTAATTACTTCCGCATTATCTTGTAGTAAATGACTTGTGTAGTGATTTTAAATGTTTATTGTGTCTTAAATATTGGATATTTTGATCCCATATTTTACGGCAAAATAACAACAACGATATTGATTGAAATTTAACAATATTTAATTCTAATATCGAATATTATGGCACATGGTAAAGCGACACCACATGGTTACAAACTAGTCCCGACACCAACCAGGATGAACATATTATTTTATTTTTCAACACAGAATAGTGGCCCTTGGATACTAAAGTCCAATATAAAATATTTTACTAACTAAGCAATTTATCACTATCCCTTTAAATCATACATCCGTGCGTTAGCACTTAAGCGAAAATATCAGTTTCATAATTTTCTTTCCAAATCGCAGTAACAGCCACATATAAAACAACAAAGGTTGAGAACAGCCATTATCGCGTAATTACTAAAACCTCGTATCTCAGATTTTAAAGGTCTCCAGCGGCAATACTATATACTGGAAAACTATCGGAAAACGCCATGTTACACTGAATACCGGAAACACCGGAAAAACACTAAATACCGGAAAACACCCTAAATACCGAAAAACACCCTAAACAGTAACCCAGAGCCTGGTCCTCTGTTAGCGGGGAGTTGGGGTTAGGGTTAGGTTTTCCGGTGTTTTCCAGAAGACCAGCGGTGGGTTAGGATTAGGTTTGGGTTTTTCCGGTTTTTCCAGAGGATCAGGCTCCGAGTTACCTATTTAGGGTGTTTTCCGGTATTTAGTGTTTTTCCGGTGTTTTCCGGTATTCAGTATAACATGGTGTTTTTCGGCAGTTTTCCGGTATTTTCTGGTGTTTTTCGGTATATAGTATAGCCCACCACAGTAGACACAAAAAACACTAAATAACTTTAGTAATATTTTGTCTAGGAAAATCATTTTATACGTTTAAACAAGAGAAGTCACTTCAATGTCGTTGAAGTGGAGGAGAGAAATGCGTATCTAGATTCCACGAGGATGGACAGGCGACCCTACTCCTTGTCACGTACAACCGGGGAATCGAAACCCCGCAGTTGACTCAATGGCAGACCGTTTGATACAGCGCGCACATGCTAACCATTCAGCCATCCAACTCCCCAACTTCAGTGAGATACGACTTGTAGCGTTGTACATCTTTGCTGACAATATCATAAACTGTGGCACCCCAACTTTGTTTTGTAATATTAGCATTAAGGTTTAGTGTAAGAAATGAAATGAAATGAAATGGAGTTTAACGTCCTACTGTCCTGCTCCGAAATGGGCTAATGCAGACGGGCATACGCCATACAGTGTGCTATGAGGGAAATTTTGCCCGGACAGCGGGACTACGGCCTACTCTTATATCGAATTCCAACTGTCAAGGGATCTTTTACGTGCACGCCAATGTGTACACGGGACCTTGGTTTTTCGTCCCATCCGAACGACTAGACAGCTGTCCTTGTCAGGCCCTCCGTCCTGTATCAGTGACAAGGGAGAATCACGCCGGAAAATATGGATGCACTTTCTCGGCCAATGCAGGGATCGAACACCCGACCTTCAGGCTATCGAGTTAGCATCTTACCCACTTAGCCACCTTTGGTGTAAGAAGTATGGCCTGGGGATCAATAAGTAAGTGCGACAAGTGATGGATCGTTTGAAACACACTGCTTGTCACGGCCCTTTTCAGCTTGCGCCATATCCTTTGCTTCGATATGATCGCGATAAACGGTTTCTTCAAGATTTTTTACTTTATAGGAGCAACATGTGTCGCATCTGTCCTTTTTCGGAGAAAACCAAGCCATGTTCCGTTCATTGAATACTTCAAAAGTCGACTTTCGTCCACAACAAACCTTGCCGTTTTCAATGAAATCATTTTTATAAACCTTGTATAACGATCGGTACCTGTGGAAAACACTGGTTCCAAAAAGTTCTTTGAGCTGCTCAATCTGCAGTAGTGTGACGGTAATTTGGAGAGATTTTACAGTAATTGTTTGGCGATGTGAATTTGACGATTTAATTGGTATACCGGTATCATCGATGTTGGCTATCCACGTATAGACAGTTTTCTCGCCGAGGCAAAAGTGGACAAAAATACGGGTTTGCAAACCTGTAATTTTTGGTTATCTTTCTTTAAAAAATATTTATATGACACCTTCTTTCTGTAATCTGTTTCCTGACTTTGCACTGAACCTCATAGGGAAGTGAACCCACATTAGAACGAGACTGATCACTTGTCGCAGCTTCTCGGCTTAGATTAAAGATTACCTATCAGCTTCCATACGTATGCCTGTCTTCATCAGCCTGGTTGATATATACTCAGCCAAATTAAAAACTTGACACTGATGAATTTCAACAAAAAATTTTTTCTGGTAAGTCAAATAAATTTTAAAGTGTTTCTAACGATAGTAAGTAGTAAGAAGCCTTTAATTTCATAAAATTGTAAAGTCACGTGGATCACGTGACTTTTGAGCATATAAAGATGAAAAATCTGAAAAACACGTGCAAACACAAACTCGTGAGGTCAATCGATGCAAGTTTGCTTAAACTGAACACGCACACGTAACTTGAACTGGAAAAACAAATTAAAATTGTTATTTTCATCTTTGTTAGAAAATGCCGCGCCTTTCAAATGTAGAACGTCTACGTGCTATAGGTAGGCTCTATGCTGGTCAGTCTGTGGTCACTGTTGCAAGAGCCTTTAATTGTTCACGCCAGACAATAATTAATCTTAGAATGAGAGTGCTTCAAACTGGAACTATTGCCGACCGCCCAAGGGCAGGAGCGCCACGTGTGACGTCACTCCAGGAAGATCAAGCAATACGATTACGTCATCTTAGAAACAGATTTGTCACTGCAACCTCCACAAGTAGAGAGATGTTTGGTGGAAGGGTAACTGCACAAACTGTTCGAAATCGCTTGCAGGCTGCTGGTCTTCGAGCTCGGAGGCCATATAATGGACCAATATTGACACCTCTTCATCGCCGTAACCGACTTGTGTGGGTCACCAGAAAAATAAGCAGTACGAGACGCTAGAGGAGACCACAACCGTTACTAAACACTTTATTCCGATTGGTCTCCAAGTCTGTGAATTTCATTTTGGGGGGTACTGTGACATCACGAACGTTACCAATGTCAAGGACTTTCGGCGAGACGTATTTTTGCTTTCTGTTGATGTCAAGGTCGTCTGTGCGCAACATAACACTAAAATAGTTGCCTTAAACCAAATATTAAAAATCTATTCCCAAAAATCCCGAGTGTCAAGTTTTTAATTTGGCTGAGTATAGAAATCAGGAGCCATGGTGGTTCAATTAGTAAGGTGCTGGTCCACTAACCAGGAGTTCTTGGGTTCGATCCTACCCAATGTTGGCCAAGATAGTACCTCAGGATTTTCCAACGTTGGATCCTATTGTCACCGGTACAAGATGGCAGGCCTGGCAAGGAACCATGTCTTATATTCGGACAGGCCTGAAAACTTGTGTACACGTTGTCTTTCACGTTAAAAACCCTTTGACATAATTTATAATAAGATTGGGCCATAGCACTGCTGCCCAGCAAAAGTACCTCATAGCATACTATAATCTAATCTTGTATATACCTGTCGTTATTACCCAAGATGGTGCAGAAAAGTAGGATGATACCGTGATGTGCTGAAGTGGTTTTCATCATATCCCCTAGACAGAAGTCAATCAGTCGCTGTGAAAAACAGTTATTCAACATCAGTGACCCTACAACGTGGTGTCCCTCAAGGATCCGTTTTGGGCCCCATCTTATTCACGCTCTATACTAGTCAACTTGGACAGATCATAACAAACTTTAGTATTTCCCATCATATGTATGCCGATGATACCCAGTTACTTGATAGTTTTTCCGCAACAAATCAATCCAATAATCTTCTTAAGAACATTGAAACATGTATCTCAAGTATAAAATCATGGATGTCTTTTAACAAGTTGAAACTAAATGACGATAAAACGGAAGTTATTCTAATTGGACCACCATCAAGAATATCAAAAATAGAAATAGATAACATTCAAGTAGGAAATTCTTTGATCAAACTCTCCAGTAAAGTAAAAAATCTTAGAGTTTATTTAGCTAGTAACAACAGCATGATGAGTCATGTGAACCAACTTACTAAAACATGCTACTATCATATCAAGAACATTAGTAGTATTCGTCATCTTCTCACAACTGAAGCCACAGCTACACTCGCTCGCTCGCTTATTTTGTCACGATTAGACTATTGTAACAGTCTCCTCCTCAGCGTCTCAAAAGAATTCTAATTGGACTAGATGCGATATTTTACAGCAGATGTGTTATAAAACGATATAAAATGATATAAATCGGATCTACGAGGTTTTAGAAGCACAACAACGATATTTCTTCCATGCTGAAAAACTCGGATGAGTTGACTCTTCAGATTTCCGAGCAAGCTATGCGAACAATAGTTAAATGACAATGTTTACTGGAACATGATATCGATATGCAATGCTACTCTCACACAGTGAATATCCTTGCGAAAATGAAAATTTGACATAAATGAAAGGGTATTAAATTTAAATACAAATTTCTACAAAGGGCAATTTTTAATTCATATCAGAATCCACATAATGAGTACTTCATCACTTTCGGAGAAGCCGTACAACGACACGGAAAGATAAACCAAGATGCAGTATTTACTTTTTGACTTATACTATCACAATTATCGACACATCAGGTGGCATATCTTAATATAGATTACTGACCTTCGTTTGAAGGAACTGTCCTTCTTTTATTATTCATATGGGACGTCCTAAAAACTGACGAAATCGATCGAAATCTTGGTGTCTTCCTTTGTCAAATGTTGGTAAATGTTACCAAAAGGACTTTCTAAATTTGGTACAGATTATTATAAGGATTTTGGTGGTTTGGTACAGAATTTGTTAGCTTAATATACGTTTTGTGAGACAAATTATGTTCTATGGATTACTATTTGTAACAGATAACTGTCTTTATCAATCAACTAATCGTTGGGGCCTTTACATATTCAGTATTATGCTTAGCGTGGACCGTTCGTGTCAAATCTATGAAAGATTAAACATGCAGTTGATTGTGAAGGAGTATTCAGATAAATATATTGCAAAATATATAAAACTTTGTAAATATTTCGTATTTCGTATTCAAAGGATGAATTAAGAATTCATACAAATGTTAACAATGTGTATTCAAATAAAAAATATCTCAACTCAAGGCTAGCTTCAAGGAAATGTTAATGTATGTAATTACAACTTTCCGCACAGACCCGAAAACCTTGAGGTTTGGTGGGGTCCCTCCCAATAACAATCTGAAAAGATATGTCAATCATCCGCCAACAGGGATAACGACAACATTAACCCACATGAAATATTTACATGAATGGTATTTAAATGGTATAATATTGAATTATTAACATTCTAACTTACGGTGTACACATAGGTTGAACATAAGAATTGTTAAATATGACGCCCTCTTTCGCAAATTTGTCAAGTGTAGGTGTTATCATAGCAGGATTGTGAAAACCTAGATCGTTCCATCCTTGATATATAAAAAAAGAAACAATATTGAAAGATAATAAACCAAACGAAATAAACGTTATGTGTATTAAATTTTATTTTAAATAATATTCATTAAAATTTCGGAATACAGGACTTTAATTAAAATGTTGTGCCTTGTTTTAAGCAAAGTATGAGAGAAAAGTGTCTTCTTTACCCAAATCATCAGCTAACACAAATACAATATGTGGTGTTTGGTCACATAAACATAATGACAATGTTAGGCAAGATAGCACCAATACATAATTCAACATCCTTCCCATTCCAATACCATACACTGTCAATAATAACGAATGAATAAATGTTTTGCTAACCTATATATTACCGATAAGATATCAAAGTGTGTATCGTTATCGGTGTATCTGGCGTCTTCGGCAGATTAGATCACCTGTTTTATATACTTAAAATTATTCGTGATATAAAATGTTAATCTATGGAATGTTTAGCAACAATCTTAGTCATAATTGCCAATATCTATATAAAGACTGGCAGACAGTTCTTTACCCTGGTAATTAACTACTGCACTCTTACGGATTTATACATAAATAAAAGTACATGTATAAATTATTGTATACCCTTAAAACCATATAATGCCAACAGACAAGACTGGATTGTGACAACTCAGTTATAGTAAGTATAACATTTCACCTGCAAAGCTTTGAGAGAGAGAGAGAGAGAGAGAGAGAAAGAGAGAGAGAGAGAGAGAGGTGGTTAAGTCCACTCAACACAAACAGGTCATTTCGGGACTAACATATGGTTCAATTTTATTTCAATAATTCGATTGCGCGTAGGGGTCTATAGCATTGGGAGGGGGTCCATATTGCTATTCAAATGTGTGCATAGTGGACACATAGAAATCATTAGCGTGCGTCCATCTACCTATTAAATATAAATTGGGCCACTTATAACCAACTGGAAGTGTTTTAAGGATGGGACAAACAATAATCGGCGATTGCAAGTATTTCGGTTATTTTTCGTCGGTTTTCCATTTTCGAATTTTGGGACAAATCTCATACGGGTCTCCGCGGAGAGATATCGAAAATTCACCCTTATATTTGTTATCGCTGGTTACTTCAGTCAGTTATATAGAAGGATAACTCGTGTTTTCCTTTTGCCTTCTTCACTTCAGTTTCTTGCAGTCTTTGTCACGCGTCTATCGTAGCAATGATCTCTGTATTTAAACAGTTCTATCGCATATGTGATAATGGCTGACACCAATATTGTCCTTTAAGAGTGTTGAAATTTTGATGGTTGTAAATAAATTAGAAGATAATTAGTTTAAAACAAAATGTTCTTTTATTGATGGTTTATTCGGTTCTCTCGAGAACTGTTCCCTTACAAATCTGTAAATGAAGAAACTTCCTGGGACCCACTTCACCGACACTGAAAGAAGGTCATGGGAAATTAATAGGTTTCCATTGATACCTTCCTTTCCAAAATATGAACGAGGATCGTCATTTACGTAAATTACAGGATTATGTTACACGTATCCCTTCACAGTGGCGGATCCAAGGGACCACCATGTTCACTATCTGCAGGTTTTTTTTTTTACAATAATAATTTCCAAACATTTTCACGCTTCGCATATTTTGTTCATAGATGATATCCTCACTCCTAACCAACACCTGACTCCACTTCGCCCTCTCCTAAACACCAACTCTGGTTCCGCTCCCCCACCCCTCCTTAACACCAACTCTGGCTCTATCAATAGCGCCCAAAGTAGTGAAACAAGTGACCGACAGACAAATATATGTTATAGATATGCACGCTCTACAAATCATATTCAAATGATTGCATAAAAATTGACAAAATTATGGATTACTGACATTTTGACAAAAACGGTCCTACTACTAATCACGGACAAAGCGTTTTTTGTCAGTAGCGCCTAAAGTATTGAAAAAAAAGTCGGCAAGGAAATATATATTATAGATATGCATATTATACATATCATATTGAAAATTTAAACGATTTCATGAAAAATTGAAAATATTACGGATAATTGAAACTTTGACTAAAACGGTCTTACTAATCACAGACAACAGCGTCTTTTGTCGATTTCACTTATCCATAATTTTGACAATTTTCATATAAAATCATTTAAATTTAGGATATGATGTGTAGAATGTGCATACAGGTCACAATTCTATGGAATACAATTACTGCTTTTTACTGAGCGACGTTTCGACTAGGCTTCTCTAGTCATTATCATTGATAATGACTAGAGAAGCCTAGTCGAAACGTCGCTCAGTAAAAAGCAGTAATTGTATTCCATAGAATTGTGAACTGTATACTCTAGTTCAATTACTAAATGCCATTGAAACAGTTTAGAATGTGCATATCTATAGAACATCTTTCCTTCAAACTTTGAGTGCTATTGGAAAAAAACGCTCTTGTCGGTGACTGATAGGACCTGTCAAAAGGGGAGGATGTTTTTTGTCCATAAAAGTGTCAATTAGTATTCAATTTTCATAAAATTTTCACCATATGATGCCTATTGCCATTTACGATTTCCTAAAACTGATTTAACATTTTCATTGTCACCGGAAATAATGTCATTTTGGCAAAAACTCTATTTTCAGCCTCCGAAGCAACTATTTGTTTGAAGTAAGTGATATTCATTATTCGTATAAAATTATGATATTGGATTTCAAAGTACAAATAGTATGAATCAATATGATCATATACATATCAAGGAGCTGATTCTAGCGTCTTCTTGTACCGAGAAATAACCCGTTTTGTCAGTATCACTTTTTAAAATGAAATGAAATGGGGTTTAACGTCCTACTGTTCTGCTTCGAACTGGGCTAATGAAGACGGGCATACGCCATACAGTGTGCTATGCGAGAAATTTTGCCCGGAAAGCGGCACTATGGCCTACTCATGTATCGAATCCTAACTGTCAAGGGATATTTTACGTGCACGCCAATATGTACACGAGACCTCGTTTTTTTGTACCATCCGAACGACTAGACAGCTGTCCTTGTCAGGCCCTTCTTCCTGCATCACTGACAAGGGGGAACCACGCCGGAAAAATTGGATGAACTTTCTGGGTCAATGCAGGGATCGAACATCCAACCTCCATGCTAGCGAGCCAGCGTCTCACTCACTTAGCCACCGTGGGCCTACAGACATGAAATAGGATAGCAGTGCAGTTTTTCTCTTATATCCATAACATAAACACAGGGGCGATACCACGATTCTGAATGAATCATCTTAGAACTTGGCATATTTATTCCTTATACCCTAAGGATGGTAACTATTGACTTTGGTTAAACTCTGTTTCAATTATTCATTATCATTGATTTGATGTTAACTAAGTATTCATTTTATTGGTTTGTTGTTTTTCGCCTATTTCTCTTATATACAATCCATATTCATTCTTTTATTTAGGAGAGAATTCATACAGACTATGCTGTTCCTCAATCCCTTTCAATTTTTGAATAAAATATTGATTTAAAGAAAGAAAATCCCCAACATTGAAAACTCAGAAGGATCCACATTGCAACATTAAAAGTGGAAAAGGCGGTGCGACCAATGGTGACCATTGACCTACCCAGAAGGTCAATCCCCAAATTTGACAACCCAGAAGGAATCATATTGCCATAAAATTTATGGTCCCAAAGAACATTTTGACACCCATGTTGTGCTTTAAAGGTAGATTGGGCATGGCCAAACAATGGAGACCTTTGGCCTACTCAAAAGTTGGTTTATCAACAAATTTGAACACTTGGAATAATTTAAATTGACATAGGCAATCCAAAGGGACATTTTGACTCAGGTTTCATGGATGTACTCGAGATATGTGTTACAAACCCACTTTGGGCGATATTGAGAACAAAATACACCCCCCCCCCCCCTTACTGCTTCTATACAAACGAAACTTGGTACGCCAAATTTTTATGTTCATCATTAAAAAATTTAATCAATTTTGATGTTTATATATCCCATATTTACACTTCATGTTAAATAAATTACATAAAACATGACGCATTGATTTAATTAAATCGGCAAATATTGTCTTTTTAATGTTAAAATCATCGCAACGATTGCAATATGAAAACAGTTGACAAATAACCTAAATATTATTGCGGTATCTATCGCGCTAATGACCCCTATGCGCTTCCATACAGAACCGATCTGGATTTCCGGGGCTCCCAACCCGACCCAAGCACGACCTGGACCGTCACGATGACTTGACGGGAAGAAGTCGAGTTGATGCTTCTTCAACAAGACCGTCTCCCGATTCAACAAGACCCGGCGGCAACATTCCCGATCCAGGAAGATCTTCGCTAGCTTTTTTGTCGTGTTAGGTCGGTCTTTGGTATGATGGGGGCTTTATATCCTTCACTATTTGAGGTATCGGGTTGAAACCAGGAAACATCGATGCCTTTATAATGGTACGTTAAGATATTTTGGGATCGCTTCCCGAAACGTTTGAAACATGAATAGTTTACCCCATTTTGAAAATATACCATAATGGCATATGGCAGTGTTACAAACAAGCTTCAAATCGATATTCAGCCACCGTCTTGATTTAAATCTTAACAGACATTTATTTTAGAAACTAGTCAAAACTGTCACAACTTCTAGTAAGCCGATTTTTTAAAATCAGATTTTGCTTACGTCCATTTCGCGTAGATGTATTTAAAGAAAAGAAATTATTTCCAAACTTAAAGGCATTGAAGTAGATCGATCGTGTGTGGGGAGGGAGTGGTGAGCGCTTACAACACTGCAGATGTAATTATAAATATCATTGAGCCAAACTGTTCAAATGATGGCCCCCTTTGACTAACGACAATATCCTGAATATTTAAGTAGACCTTGGAGAAGAGAGGCCTATAAAGCGTCTTAATATATCATTATCAACACCGGTAGTAGTCAGAAATTGTAAAAAAAAAACTGATACCAGGCATCATTGTACAATTATGAATTTACTGGACCTCTACCCCCTAAATCCCACATCAAGAAAACATGTCAAGATAGGGTGCTGTGACGGGGGTGTAGAGCTTTGTGTTTAAAACTTTAGAGTACAGTACCGCCCCCCCCCCCCCCACACACACACATGCACAACCCCCCACAAAAGAACTTGAATCTGTAATCGCAATTCTACACACACACACACCCATGCACAACCCCCCACGAAAGAACTTGAATCTGTAATCGCAATTCTACACACACACACACACATGCACAACCCCCCACGAAAGAACTTGAATCTGTAATCGCAATTCTACATACGTTAGAAGGAAACTTTTGCTTCTTCTGTCTTCTTTCATCTAATCATCTTTTCGAGGAGATAATCTTTAAGCATTGACGAATTCCATATTAACTTATTACTTTTAATAATTCTACCAAATTTAAGATAAATGAAAACACGTTTACTGATAAAATTCTTTGATAATATATATCAAAATCAAAAACTGAATTATTCTGTGGTCAAAGGGAAATAACTTTAATTTGCCGAGCCAAAGTAATGTCCTACTGTTATGTACCTACCTATGGAGCGGAATTTCCCCCATTATTCTAACTCCTAACCTAGTAATGCGTATGCTAATATGCTTACTTCTATGCATGTAACTTCTTACTAACACATGTTAAATTGGCTATTTACATATCTAAAAATGTTAATTTATATGACTTATTTTTTAAATATTGCATTTAGAATTTGTATTCTGTTCTATTTCGGGGGGGTTGGATGGCTTAGTGGTTAGCACGTGCGCGCTGTATCATTAAGTCTGTCATTGAGTCAACTGGCGTGGTTTCGAATCCCCGGTTGTACGTGACAAGGAGTAGGGTCGCCTGTCCAACCTCGTGGGTTTTCTCCGGGTCCTCCGGTTTCCTCCCACTGCTAAAGACCCCTACGCGCAAGCGAATTATGGAAATAAAATTGAACCATATGTTAGTCCCGAAATGACCTTTTTTGTGTCGAGTGGACGTTAAACCCCATTTCTCTCTCTCTCTCTCTCTCTGTTCTATTTCCATTATACTCTTAATTTATTGTAGTCAGTTTAGCTTCGTTAACATTTTGACATTTTACAAATGTTTCGCGGTAAAGGCGCCATAATTCTAAAGCTGTTTACAATGTATGGTGGTTTATTGGGAACATGTAAAATCGCACCCTTCCACAACCCGACAGACATGACGATATTTTTCTGTCAAATATAATAAAATATTTTACGTACAAAAGTAAATTATTTTGGATATTTTATTTGATAAATAAATAGGCTATTTTATCGTGCATTTTCACAAATAATGCACTGTCGATTGTTTTGACCTATTTGTTTTCTAAAAGAATAATATATAACAAGAACTCATTACGTCATGCATGAAAGTGAATAAATAAATATAATTCGGTAATTCTTAGTTTAGCTTATCTCTTCCCTTCAAAATTATGAAATATTTTATGCACACAATTAGAGCATTTTTGATATCATTGAAGTAATCTATATCGGGCCAGGCTTCCAAATCATCGGGAGCCGCGGTGTCTCGGTGAGTAAGTCACTGGCTCGGTAACCAGGAGGTCCCGGGTTCGCTCCGGGATTTGGAAGAGAACGTTCCTCGGGTTTTCCGGTGTGCTTTACACCTATCAGTACCTGAGAAGGAACAGTCTTAATGAGACGAAAACCCAATAGCGTGCACCAAGAGTAGTCCATAGCGCCCCTGTCCATACAAAATCCCCTGACATTGCACACTTCATTTCGTATGCCCGGCTTCTTAAGCACAGTCGGGCCATAACAGCAGGACGTTAAACTTTATTTCAGTTCCAAATCACCGGTTTTGTGTTAGAAAGCAGGAGGACTCTTTAGGGATTGGGCGAACGATTCATCGCTCTTATTGATCTCATTCTATAGTTTGGTGTCATAACTAAACGAATTTAAAATTGGTATTTTACATTGTTTACATCGTCTCATAGTTCGATATTATACTCCCGTTGAGGGGTTCCGGGGTAATTGTCACCACCCCTTGTGTGCGTAAAACATTTCATAAACAGGCTACAGTAAATTAAAAGTAATAATGGAAATAAAACTAAATACAAATTCTAACTGCAATATTTAAAAAATAAGTCATATAAATTAACATTTTAACATGTGTAAATATCCAATTTAACATGTGTTAGTAAGAAGTTACATGCATAGAAGTAAGCATATTAGCATACGCATAACTAGGTTAGGAGTTAGAATTATCGGGGAAATTCCGCTCCATACCTACCAGGAAGACTGGTTTAAAATGGAGGAAACATTGTCGTGGTATTATATCTACACAATACATATAAATATATATATAATACGTACGTATTGTAGATATATGTATTTCCCAAATCCGATGGAACCTAAGCTGTGTGATTATCTACCGATCTTAGCTTGGATTAAGCAGTGAAAAAAATGGATATTTTCCAAAACTGCAAATGTCGATTAGCGAACATACTTTCAGGTTTGCATTAGTTTGAAGAAACAGATCCAAGTAGAACTTTGTCTTGTCAGTATCGAAAGTTTCATTAATCTCCAATATAGTATAAAAGTAAAACAACTATTTGAATGTAGAGAGATAACCTTTGTGAATATTTGGTGAATCATTTGACGAGTCTCTTCTTTCAGCTGAGGTCTCATGGATACCAAGTAAGTTTCATTGAAATCAGACATAAAAATAAAACTGTGAGTGATTGACGAATGTCATTTCGCCTTTGCCTCCTCTTGGATCTCAAAGATTTCGATCTACTTCAAATAACACCTAGCCGTATTGCCACGTTATTTTTTTAAAATAAACTTGCAAAGATAAGTTTATGTATCATTATACTTGATCCAGAACTGTGACCTCTGAAAATACTCATTTCACATTAAGGGTGTAGTTCTTGTCAATCAAGCATTAAACCAAGGTAATCATCAACAAAGTGAATTTAGCTTCTGGAGCAAAGTTCAAACTATCGTATGTTACTCTTCCTAGCACACCGTTTACACATTTTATTTAATTTGTTGTATTGAAATGTATGTCGAGTTAATACATCATGTAGGCCATGTATTGGTCGTGCCAATAACTATAGAATTGTTTTGAATTGGTTTCCCCCTTGTCAGTGATGCAGGACGGAGGGCCTGATAAGGACAGCTGTCTAGTCGTTCGGATGGGACGAAAAACCGAGGTCCCGTGCACGTAAAAGATCCATTGGCAGTTGGAATTCGATACAAGAGTAGGCCGTAGCGCCGCTGCACGGGCAAAATATGTTCGTCTTCATTAGCCCAGTTTAGGAGCAAAACAGTAGGACGTTAAACCCCATTTCATTTCAGTTTTGAATTGTGCAACGTTCGGTTCAGTATTATTCGTTAATTCGACCTCTGATTGCGTGAAACGGTTACTTCATCATTAATATAATAACACAGAATATGCTCATGAGATTTAGATAAAGGGCTGATTCTAGACCACTCACCTAATAATTATTGGAAAATCCTAACTCAGACTTACTTACAGTTTTCACAAGCGTTCTTTAAACTTCTTAAATAATTTGTATGACTCGTAAATTAAAAATTAAAACGTGTGAAATTTTCAAATAAAAGATGCTATTTCCTTTTAATGTTTTATGTTTTTAACTGTTTTTCCAAAAAGAAGAATGACATCACCTTAATAATAATTATATGTAAATATGAATAAATGCTTTGTGACATCTAAAGTAAAATACCCATTCAAAATACTATGTACATCCTAGCCCACGTGTATGAATAGGAGTTGCGGATTGGTGATTTTGTACTAACTGGGGTATGAAAATTACAGCCGTACAATTTATAAGACAGTACAATATTTAGCAAGGCTATACCGTCATATTACTGTAAGTAACTAAAACCGCCTTATTTCTAGAATAGATTATGATAATCCTGCTATTATTAGATACATAATTCGTGTTTGATAATAGACTAGAAACTCTGCATATCTGTACATTGTCAATAATTGGATATTTGCCAATGGCGAATAAGTGTATAAGGAGAATTATGTACTTCCCCTTTATATTGAATTGTAATATAACATTACCACCGTGTAACTTATTTCATACATAGTCATATATATTGGAGTAAGTTTGTGAAGGATTACTAAAATGCCGAGTAAGTAGAAACCTGTATTTAAAACATTTAAAACGCCATATGTATATCTACTTCATATACGTTACTGTATAAAGTTCATGTTAAATCGTCCATTCATTTTATTTCTGCTTGAGATGTTTTCGTCAGGTCACGTTATGTTAATATGAAATTCTTATCATTTAAAGTAAACCGATCAAATCGATTGTATTTTTAAACATACGTTCGAAATGACAACTCAGAGAAGGCTTTGATAGTTTAAAATTATGTTTTATACTTATTTATGATAAAAGCATAACTTTATAATGATGTATGATGAATCCGATATGTACCAAATTTGGTTTGATAAATCGATAACTAACTGTGGGATGCCAATGTTCAACTATTGAGTCTAAGGCAAGTCTAAGGTACACGCCTCTTTATTTATTACTCATTGGGCGAGTGCGTTAATAACAATAACGGGCGTACACGAAAACGGTATAATCTGACGAATTTACGTGGGATTCGAAATGTACATTATTGTGTATTATGAAAAATAAATCATTCGGTAACTGTCAACACCAAAATGTATGTTTCAGAATTAAAATAAAAAGTAGAATGTTATCAAGGTGTCATAAAGTATTAACTATTCACAGACCTATATGTAGAAAATATCATACATTTATAGATGTTATACTCAAGTAAACCAATAACTATATGTCACCACACTATATTAGTTTAAAGGTGCTACCCCCTTTTGATTTATATCAAAATAAAATGCTGAATTAAGCTGAACTGTCGCATTCTTTTGATCTATGAGATTAAAATTTCATTTCGATATAATGTAGAAGTCCATTTGTATACTTAGGATACGAAATCAATAATAGGTCAACATTGGCTATATCTGTGAAACTATATGTGGGTCGATAAACACTTCGCAAAGAAGTAGATAAGGTAGCATTGGGCTTTTTGAGCGATAACCTTGACCCTGGTTGACCTTAGTTGAAACAATTTCTACAAATCGGCTTTAATAAAAAAAATTAATATCTGGCTTACAAAAACTGTTTTGTTTGTGTTAAGAAGATGGGGTGGGGGGGGGCGGTATTTCTAAATATATATTGAAAATTGTTTTCGACACCGCCGCAGACTGACTAACATTTGTTGGCGTCTCACAAAACAAATATTTTATACCTTTTTTAAATTTTTCGCAAACGATGAATATTCAACTAAACTGACAAACATTTGTTCAAAAGATAGCAACTTGTCACATGAATGACCCAAGCATTACGTGATCACAAAATGGCGACGTTGGATATTTTTGTACAACGTGGTCGTTAGCGAAATACTGATTGGGTGTCCGTATATAATGTTTCGCTATTTGTTGAAATTCAACGCAAACAAGACCTACAAGAACATTTGTTGGCCGAACAATGTTTTTGAAATCTAACAAGTTTGATCTCGCGAACATTGTTCGGCCAACAATTGTTCGTATTGAAATCCAACGCACACCTGCTAACTTTATTTTGTCATAAAACATTTTTCAGCCAAAAGATATTACCCGGTCTGCGGCGGGTTTTAACCCGGGTGGATTGTTTGATTTCAAAAACATTGTTTGGCCAACAAAAGTTCGTGTTGAATCTTAACAAAGAGCGAAACATTTTATGAGACACATCTAATTTACGCCTTGACGCCGTCGTGTAAACTGGCGTCTCTATGAAACGAGATTCCTGCATTTATGGGATGGAAGAACACTTTGCTTGACAACAAATTAAAGAGGCATTTGCTTATTGTCGGTCGTGTTTCGGGCTTCAAAGCCTACATATTATCTATGCATTTTATTAACATAAATCAACTCTTTAGACATTCGGGTGGTTTAGATACTGGGTGAATTAGACAAAGTCCATGGTATCTGCATCAAACGCTAATATACTTTATGGGTGGAGTTTTATTCGGCCATTTCTTGTTTAAACTTCAAACATTCATAACTCCGTTCAATATAAAGTTGGGTTAGTTTTGTCCATTTATTGTCTTGTTAAAATTGATAATGCGTCAACAAAATATCAGCACGGAGCTAGATTGCCATAGCGAAATAAAGCGACAAAAACTAATTTTTCATGTGTCATCTCGTTTTCAGAAAAACAAAGCTGCATGGCGGGTTGTGCCGGAAATACAGCCAGGTTCCTCCTGATTTTATTCAACGTTATATTCTTAGTAAGTACTTCGTCCACAAAATTTGCCTTTCTTGAAGGGTGACTTTCATCAGTTATCAGAGTGTATTTATACTAGACATAATAGAAACCTCTTCGTCATGGCTGGTTTAAGAACTTTTAGGGACTAAGGAGTGAAACGGTTATGTGTGTTGTGAAATAAAAACTATAGTAAACTGTACAACAAATAAATGAAACGTACGTGTATTGTGTTAATAAAAAAAGCATATTTTCTGGCTAATTTCTGGAGCCAACAGTAAGCGTCCTATGTTTGCGACAAGAAACAAATATTGTTTGTATATTTGCCAATTCTTTTTTTAGATCTGAATTGTATACTGCCTGTTTAGACTTTTACAATGTATGCAATATACATGTAGTATATAGACATAATGAATAAAGTGGGGTGTCTTTCAAGTTCAGTTACATGTTTTAAGTATGAATGGGACAGCTTGAGAAAATGACTATTCTCAGTGTCTGCGTATGCAATATATATTAAAACGCCGCTTAAAATTTGCTAACCTCAGAAGAGTCAAATTGTATTAATAGGCAAGGTGAATTGAAAATGTATGAATTATATGGGGCATATTATGATGGAACAGAATATAAAATAGATAATGTTAATAGAATGGGCTGAATTTGGGGTACGGGCAGCATGAATCAGTGTACCACGACTTTCAATTTCAAACTTATATTACTTCCGATTCAAGAATCTACCCGTGCAACGCCTGGCAAAAAATTGAGTAGGTTTTTTATTTGTACTTACTCCCAAAGGACAATAACCTTGTTCGTCTTCACTAAAATTTGTGCCAGGTGTAAATCATTTATTTTCTATGCATGTGATTTTCTATGGATTGGATGGGACTAGGCCGTTCCTTAAATATTGCATATACAAATATGTAGTGTGCTCTTCTAGCTACACGAAATGCATTAATATCGGTTGGTTCTTTTCCCCAGATATCTGGAATAGCTATTTTAGGAGTGGGAATATGGTTAAGAGTAGATCCCCGAGTTCTACAGATGCAGGATTTGATTAGCTTGGATAGTAAAAACCCTAATCTTGAGATAGCTGCCTATATTCTCATCGGGTTCGGGGGTATTATACTGCTGGTGTCAGTGTTTGGATTCTGTGGTGGAATACAGGAAAGCAGATGTTTATTAGGATTGGTAAGATATTTATCACCTCATTATTTTAATACTTTAAAGTATGGTACATAAGAGTCAATATAGTTCATCTGTCAATGTGATAAGGTGTATGATAACAGTTTCTATAGTAGGGATGATCAATGCCTTCTTTTGGAAATGGCTGAGTTTTGTGCATAATTTATATTTGATCCAAAAGAGCTATTTTTGTGCAATACCAACCACCCCTTAGCCTGATTATGAACGGATTCATAAAACAAACATGACATGATTTACTATTTTGGATGTTTCAGTCCATAGCTACAATAATAATATTCAAGCACAATCCATCCCAAGAAGTAGTCAAATACAAAGTACAATGGGCGAATTCGGGAATATTATTGTGACCTTGATATTTATTTCAGTTTATTGCATGTTTAGTTATTATATTTATTGGTGAGATCTCTGCCGGCGTTGTTGCTGCCGTATATAAAACAGAAGTAAGTCATCTTAATATTAATTCTCTATCTATACACATAGAAAAAAGTAAGTATCGCAACACCTGAATGTTTATGTGTTCACGTAAGAACAAGGCATATGCAGTAGAACTATATTCAAATATAGATACTTATTAGTTGGGTCACAAACCCCGGATCCGTGACCATTTATCGAGGAACAAGGTTTGACGATGATTTCTGACAGAGGGGTCCTAGTGAAGATATTTCTACCTCTAAAAACTACGGGTTAACTCCAGGAGACCTGAAAATCCAAGGTAGCGGCCAAAAATGGTCTGAAATTCACCTTGACAAACACTGACCAGTGTAATATGTCATTTTAGGGATTTTATTGATTACTGGACCCATTTTGTTATATTACACGGGTCATTTCGCCAACAATGTTTACCAAGGTCAATTTCAGACCATTCTCGGCTGCCATCTTGGATTTTAAGTTCTCCTGGAGTTAGCCTGTATATCTCAGAAATAGCAAACTACAAATATAAGTATATTTACTAGGGTCTCTTCTATCAAAGACCATGTAACCTTGTACCCAGAAAAATGGTCACGATTCTTGGGCGGGAGAGGGGGCGGGGTTTGGTATGACTCGACAACATTTGTCATTTAGAAAAATTGTATTCGGAAGTGCTTTAATACCTAATATTGATTGTCCATGTATATAATCTTTGAATATATACTAACAGGTGGAGGATAAGATCGAAACAAGTCTATATGAAGTATTGAAGAATGATTATCAGATTGGTAGAACAAAGTATACACAACCCTGGGATTATGTTCAAGTCTGGGTAAGTTATAATCTTGAATTCTCCCTATCGAGGCCCACTATAGCGATGACTCGGTAACCAAGGTGTCCGTCGTTCGTTCCCGGTGTTAGCCGACGGTTCCTTGGGATTTCCAGCGTAGGTTTCCTTTTCGGTGGTCCACCCGTGTACTCTTCGGAGAACGAGGAAACACCGCTGTCAGGGCAAATTTCACTCCTAATACACTTAATCATCCCGGTTGAAGTAGGATGTTAAACCAAACCGCCTTTCATTTCATCCACAATATTTATTGTATCCCACAACAGAAACATAAGTACATATGTATGTATTCTTAGCAACTAAAAAGGGGGTACTGCTAATTTCTAGCAGTCAAAACAGTGTACATGTTTTCGTCGTTGTGTTAATTTCGATTCAGTTAAACATTATAGATGTCTATCATTTGACTTTTTAATTTCGGATACCGTACACTAGTTTTGCAACTTGGAAGGCATGTACACTGCGATCAGCAAAGTTACATGCAGCCAATGACCTGAATTCAGATGATTATGCCTGTAAAACATTTTTAGTATTCTCGAATTTTATGTTTATAGTCGGAATGTTGTGGAGTTAAGAACTACACAGATTACAGAACAATAGCGTTCGAAGCAAATCAGGTAAGATTCTAACTTCAGAGCGTTAACAGTTCTTTAAATTAGTTCTATAGGCTGAGTGTCGACCAAATTGTTATATGGCTCGGGTAATCTTTCAAGACAATTAAATGCAAATTATGTTTGATAACTTTAAAGGCATTATTGATTACTTAGTCGATTAGTTCAAAGAACCGCCAAATAGTCGATTAATTCCATGAAACACCCAATAGACCATTGTTTACATGAGTCAATGAATTTCACGAACTGCCAAATAGTCAATGAATTCAACTATTCAAAGTCGATTATTTTCATGAACCACCAAATAGTCGATGTAGTTGCCTTTTAACTAGACGTTTATTCAAAGTGTGACGTAGTTTCCCGGTTTTCTTATCTAGACTCAAGCAGACGGCTTCACTTGGGTTTGAATTTAAAGGGTCTTGACAAGTCTGAGACACCGGGTTGACAAACTACATGAGAACCAAACTACAAACATGATATGCCGTGTGGTATTGCTGCGATTGTGTTTTCATTGATCTTTTCGTTGAACTTTGTTTACTTGGAATTTGGAATCGGAACAAATGCAGATTGAATTGATGTAATTGACATTGTTCTGTTTGTAAGCCTTTTGTATCGCCTGGTCAGTGATGATTTCAGTTTAATAAACTGTTGAAAATTTAGTGAAATATTGGTGAAATTTATATTGATAATCGATCCAGTGTGACTTAGGTCACAGTCGATTAATTCCATGAACCGCCAATAGTCAATGAATCCAATGAATCGCCAAATAGCCTATTGATTCCATGAACCACCAAAGTAGGCTAGTAATTCTATTCATCATTAAACTGGTGACTAATCACCCGAATAATTAAATTGGTAAGATTAAATCTATTTTATTTTTTTGTAGACTGTACCCAAATCATGTTGTAGATTGAAAAATAGGGATCCAGATGATCCCCAACCAGTAAATAACAAGGCATGTCAGAGAGAGGCCAGTATAAATGAACCTGGTGACTATTTACATTCAGTGGTAAGTTTACTAACTACAACGCACACATCGTATTATTAATCAGTGTCATGCTGGTTGTTTATCAGATATTTCTTGTGAAAATATATGGGTTAACTACGGAAGCCCAAATGCGAACTACTTTTGTTTTTTCAATATCCTATTTGTATTTTTAATTTTGAAAAATAATTTCTAATTTTTTTTTTTTTTAATTTTTAATTTTGTGAATTAATTTTTAATTTTGTGAATTAATTTTTAATTTTGTGAATTAATTTTTAATTTTGTGAATTAATTTTTAATTTTGTGAATTAATTTTTAATTTTGTGAATTAATTTTTAACTTTATTTTTGAACTTCAAATATTGTAAGATTAATTTTGTACATTAATTTATAATTTCAAACTTTTATTTATAATTTCCATTTTGTCAAATAATTTATATACATATATATATATAATTGGTTTGTTTGGTTTTTTTGAAAAACTATTTCTATTTTACTCGAGCACTATTCGGCAAACCTCGGCTGATTCTGTGATGTTCATCATGTCACGCATCCTCGGTATCCCAAGTGGTTCCATTTCGTTCTATTTCACTAACACCTGGGTTAATCTATGGCGGGGGGGGGGGGGGGCGTTTTCAAGTTAAATCGTTAATTGCAAAGGAAGTTGGCAAAGGGAAGTAACTCGCATCGTTTAAAGTAAGCAAAACGCAAAGGCTCCCCTCCAAGAGACAAGGTTAGGAATTGGCCTAAATGAGGGAAGTCCAAATTATACTAAATGCGTATTTATTAACAATTATTATATAATATAATAATGGAGACAGGACAGGTGATTAAATAATGTAGTTTCAAGAGTTATACTGGGAATCAAGTATATGTTCAATAATAATAAACTTAACAGAATGAAACATTTCAGGCAAAGAAGGAATAGAAATAATAATAACAAAAGTCAAACATATAGATGTTATTCACATTTGAAATCGGAAAAAACATGCTACAGATTTTGATAATATAATTAAATATAAATGAATTAGCAATATATACATTTATTACAGAAATCATTCAGTAAATGGACATGAATAGGGTTATCTACTCTTATAAAACGAACGCGAAACGAAGGTCGTTTCATTTGTAAGACTGGACTGGCTTGTAAACTGGTTTTGATTGGTTCGTAGACTTCAGCTACAATCAAGGCCAGGGTAGATAAATTGAAATCGTGGAAACCCTATGGATTAAGTCGGGGTGGAGTACAACGGAATGAGAACACTGGGGATACCGAGGATGCATGTCATGTAGCTCGCCAGTACGACGTAACTGATAATAATATGCGTCTCCGCTCTCCGCCTGATATCGTGGTACGGTCGTAGGTTTACTCATTAGGAAAACTTATCGCCTAATGAAAAATAGGAGATTTTACCTTGCATTGCCGGAAGTTTCTTTAAAGATAACGCGTTAGAAATGTGTGCAGTCGAGGTCAAAAATGGAAGTAGCAAAATAGCCAAGGCCGGCCGAATTTACAAGCGCCTGTTATCAACAAAATGGCGACAGGGAAATGAAATGGCATGGGATTTTAAAACGTCCCACTCTTCTTCCCCGACTGGGCTAATGAGGACGGACGTATATGCCATGTGCTGTGAGGGAATTTTTGGACGGACAGTGGCTCTACTGCCTCTCTTATATCGAATTCCAACTGCCAAGAGGTCTTTTACGTGCGCGGCAATGTGTACGCGTGAACTATTACAGGAAGTGAACCCGCGACTTCCAGGCTAGCGAGCAAGCATCTTACTCACTTAGCCACCGTAGCTTCCATGGCGATAGGGCATTCAAGTAGTAGTAATACTATGTATATTACTGTGGAAGATGTAAGCAGACCGGGGCGGCCTGTTGGTTCTGAATACAAATTAAAAATTATTCTAAAAAATCAAAAATTATTCTACAATACAAAATTAAAAATTATTCTACAAAATTAAAACATTTTTTACAAACTTATTTTAC